CTCTATTTGTTTGCAGTACTAATTAGTTAATACAGTAAATGTGATTGATATTAATATAATGATTTGATTACTCTATTTGTTTACAATGTGTGTGTGTATATATATAATAAGTTAGTAAATTATAAATAATATTAATTGATATATAACTTGATTGCTATGATTTGTGGACGTGGAGCATGATCACCCCCCCTCCAAAAAAGATCACACACACACAAGGCGTTTGACAGGTAAATAGTTGAAGGCAAGACGGTTCCAAAATATAGAATAGATTTAAAATATGGAAGAAATGGGGAGAGATTCAATCAAGTTGGTGGCTTGCTTGTTGGTTCTGTTTCTGGTTGCGTCAGCTGGTAACTAAGCTCTCTCTCTACAATATATATAATTGGTCAAAAATAGATGATGTGGATGAATGATGACACGTGTAGGGAATGGAGTGGCAAGAGAGATAAGATAGGGAAGATGCTTTGCGCAGAGAACAGTTGAAATGTCCCAATAAGTTCTCCAGATGTAGTTGGGATGGCTGGTGCTTTTGCTGTCCCGATACTCCTTCACGTTGTCATCATCTCCACTTTTAAATTACATGAATAATATCTTATTTTAAATAAAGTGATCCATACATCACCTATATATATATATATATATATATATATATATATCATGACACGCTCCCAAGTAATAGTAAGAGTGTAAGACCTCTGTCATGTTTCATTTTTCTCAAAATATTGTTAGCTTATGAGTTGTGTACTCCTTTTACTTTTAATCCTTACTATAAGACGAACAAACTTCATGGTTAGTAAAAAATAGTAGCCATACATTCTTAAAATTGTTTTGAAAAAAAAAGGTGATTTTCTAATTTTACCTTCCTTTACAATTTATGACCATAATAAATTGTTGTCAACAAATTCAAACAATAATAATCAACAAAATTTGCTCAGTTGATAAAAATTTGGCCCATAACTCACAAGATTTAAAGTCAAACCTCACTGTCAATATAAGAATCTTGTTGATAAATAATTTAAAAGTACTTTTATAAATGCTTGTCAAAGAATGTGAATATATATATATATATATATATTGAAGTTTGAGTTACGTGTTAGGCTTGATAATATATATACATATATATTAAAATTTAAAGTGTAAAATTTAATCGATAAAATATTTGAATCCAATAAAAGAGCTAGTATCTTAAAACATGGTAAATCAATATTTAAAATCTAATCAATATATTTAACCTAGTCCAACCTAATTGGAAATTGCTAGCCTGTTAAAGAAATAAACAGGTTGCTATTTGTTTACCTGCTACAACCGGATTGTCAATCTTTAGAATGAGAGAAATCAATGTTTTGTTTGCTTCCACAATTGAATACTTTCCCTCAAACACATCCTTCGCAAATCTACATAATGAAGGGCCAATATTGGCGAGAAGCCATCAAATCTGGAGCTTTATGCGGACCAGCAAAGATAGCATTCCAAATCTCTTCATCAGTAGGCATAATATAGCAAGATTGACAAGTTGATGATGATCAATAATTTGAAATGAGCTCTTCGTACTTGACATTGTCGAAGTTGAATTATCAGACTTGAAAAGTTTTTTAAAATACTAAGTTACCAAATATTTAAATCATCTTCACTATCCACCAACCCGTCTCCCTTCATCATCTTTAAGAGTCACAATTTTATTTATTTGAGAAAATCACAATCAACGATCATTGAATGACATTTATTGCTTTGTAGGATCAAATAATTATGATTTTGCTCTGCAAGATCAAGAAATTTAAATGTAAGTAAAATTCATTGTAAAAAGACAAAACTATCTCTCACACATACACATACTCTTTTAAGAATAAATCCTCATTAAGAAAAAAATAAGTCTCATTTTTATTTTAGTGACAATCAATTTCTTCACAATAACTCCAGAACATTATTAAGTCAATGGTGGAAAGGAGCAAATGTTCTGATTTGATAAACAAATCCTTAATAATTAACTCCTTCATTAATAACTCCAAAATATTAACTTAAAAATAGAGAGAAAGTGTTATGATTTAATGAATAAGTACACATTCAAGGAAAAAAAAATATTTCTATTTTAACAATAATCAATTCTCTCATCATAACAAATATTTGTGTGTATGAGGGGTAGTTTTATCTTTTCATAACAAATTTTAATTTCATTTAGTTCTTTTGATTCTTGGTTGTGATTTTTCCATTTTATTTCTCCTCGTCCTCATTGTGGTTTTGAGTCTTGAGATGTTATAACAACGTGTATTCATGTCTCCCTTAATTAGTAATCCACGATCCGTTCAAGGATTTTGAAGCCACTTTGATCTCTTCCAATTTCAAAACTTTCATCCAACTCCTTCTGTAAATCCAATTCAAGCCTTCTAAGAAAATTTGAATAAGGGTTGTAGCCACATGGATTGAAAACGAAATGGTCTTCTTCCACCATTGGGAACCTCGTTAATCCCCTATTTGAATTAAAAGAAGTGTGTCATCGGAAGCACCTTCACCAGGCAATCTTGCGCCAAATCCAGAAATAAATTATTAGCAAAGGCACGATCAATCTTGAATACCAATCTACACATATAGGCCTTTCCAAGTAAATGTGGGTCCTGTTGAACCCAAATCTGTCAATTCACAACCCGCAACCTTTTATTGAAACCATCGAATTCTTCTAGTATTACAATGTGCTCCTCCAATTTCATCAGTTTCAGAAAAGCATGTCATTAAAATCGCCAAATGCCAGCCATGGTTTTGCAACAGCAGACAATAGATTCCTCAATCCATCCTAAAGCACTTCTCAAAAATTAAAGTGAGGTAGAGCACATATAGCAGTCAGAAAGAAATCAGAAAGCCCATCAACGTTGCAGCTGAGATGAAAGAATTGTATTCGGTATTCTCTTTGTTTTTTTTCTTAATACAAGGTTATGGAAAATACTATTCAAAGAGGTTAAGATTAGGTCATGTCTAATGTCATAAGATGTTTATAGTCGGGGGGGGGGACTATCTAATATTGTAACATCAAAATTATCACTTGAAGTCTTGTTAGTCAAAAGGTCGGTGCATCTATTTGTTTTTTTATAAATATGATTAAAAGTGATTACCAAGTCTCTCATCATGAAATTTCTAATTTTTTTGATAACTGGTGAGAGAGCGTGGCCTTTTGAGAAGTTATAGTCAATGAATTGATAGAGTTTCCATGGAGTATAAGTTAACATTAACTTTGGAAAGCTTATCATTTCAGCAAAGATTAAATTCTTTCAACATTTTTATAAGCTCAACTGTTATGCTAGAGTGATAGCTAATATTGTTGAAAAACTTTTTAATTCAATCATCTTTGTCACTTTTGATGATACCTTTACAAGCAAATACACCAGTAAGATTGACAGAACTATTAACACCAAGTATAACCCACCCAAGATCTGGTGAATTCCATTTAGAATTATATTTGATGTCAATTTTACTTAGCAAGTTGATTGTATTTGGTATTCTAATGCATGCTGCAACTTTATCAATACTAGCTTTCTCAGGCTTGAACCAAGGTTCTCATGGTCTAATTGTCAAGTAATGATCATAAATGAATCATGGAGCCACAGCTAAAGCGTTGAAATAATATCCTTGTTTGAAAATTTAACAACACAATAACCATATGGTTATGAGATTAATGATACCTCTCGTTGCCCAAAGTGTTTGCAATCTGGTTTCCAAGGACTTGAACCCGCCGACTAACAAAATTATTTTCAGTAAATATTAATTGTAAAAGATGGAGATGTTGATGCAGATTTGTGTGGGCTTTAACACTTCAAATTAAAGAGCTTGGGCCCTTGATCATATATGGGCTGATTCAAGGTATTTGGGCTTAGCAAATATGTCTAGCAAAGAACCTGAGTTTGAAAAACTAACGTTGACGTTGCTTTTTTTTTTTTTTATAATATTGCTAAAGCCACCTTATGTTACCGAAAAAACATGCGAGGCTCTCTTTCATGATAGTGACGGTAAAAGTAGCAGAAATATATTTCTTTTTTCACACTTCAAAGTTTTAATCCTTCAGACATTTAAATTTAAAAATATCTCAGAACCATCGTAAATAATTTTAATTTATAATCATTTTTAATTTACTATCTCCAAAGGTAATTTTGTCAACAACATTTGTGATAGACATGCATATATTCTGAGTCAAAGTCCTATGATACTGGGATGAAAACAGTGTGTGTGTGTTCCTACCCCATCATTAATTCGCCATCATCATCATCATCATTTTGGAATACAACCTTTTCCGCACATTATTACAAATTTGCCATTGTCATGGCACTCCAAAACTTATTATAATTTATAATGCATTTTATAGAAAAGTTGAATGATATTTGTTATAAGCTACTTGATGAGATGTTAATTAAATTTTTTATATTACTCCTATCTAAAGTTATTAACAATGAAAATGTAATGCAAATATATTTTTTTCACTTAAATATGAGTAAAATTAATTTTTTTTATTTTTAAACAAAACAAATAATTTAACCATCTTTCTTTGATTCTTGTTAGAGATGTTTTACAATGGAAAATTTTGTGATACCTTATGCTTATTTGTACCGATTATTTTATAATGATCAAAAGTGACCAAAACAGAATATATTACTGACTTCATCTTTTGGGGAAAAAAAATTATAATTGTTCATCATAATCTATGAATATATAATTTTTTTTAAAATATTTCTGTATATTATTTATTAAACACACTAATCAAAATTTACAATCTGATGTTTTAAAATGAAATACTTGACCTATTTTTTGTTAATATAACACTAAATTAAAGTAATTATCTTTGGAAAGAAAAAACATGCGCCTCCTAAGATTTCATTCACCAAGAATTTATATACCTTTAAATCAAATCGGAGCGTCTATAGGAGCCGTTTCCCATCTAACGGTCAGGATTACGCTCCTTCTTGTCAAATGCCAACGTCTACTTTCCCCCTAACGGTCATATTACCCCAAAATACAAAAAATACAGTTTACTCTTCGGAATCACGCCTAATTTTCTCCTCCTCCTCGTCTTCTTCAATCCAAGAATCTTTCAAGAATCCAGACCTCAGAATCCCATTTCTCTATAGAATCACAAATCTATGAGCTTTCCACAATTCCCCGACGCCATGAACGTCTCGGAGCTTCAGGTGTGGGACAATGCCGCCTTCGACAGTGACGAAGTACGGATGAAAGCATCGTGGTCGTCGAGTCTTGATCCTGTGTTCGAGAACCCTTCCGAATCATTCGATTCAGATCGCAGCAAGGAAAATCTGAGCCCTGTAATGGTGAATTCCTCTGTTTCTGTGAAATCGTCAATGATCGCCGTTAAGCCCCTTCACTCGAATGGCGTTCTAGGAAACTCACAGAGAAAAAAACCCTCGAAGGTTTTGACCAAGAAGAAGGCGTACGAGCAAGACGATGAGAGAAAGATCGATTCTGAGATTGAAGAAATCGAGAACGAGATTAAACGCTTGTCGTCTAGATTGGAAACACTTCGACTTGAAAAGGCTGAGCGAATCGCGAAAACGACTGTTGAGAAGCGAGGGAGAGTCGTGCCTGCGAAATTCATGGAAGCGAAACAGTGTGTGAAGAAGATCGAAGAGGCTCCATTGTCCTCGAGTGTGAAATCGAAGTGTAATCGGAGGGGTGTGAGTTTAGGGCCGTCGGAAATCTTTGCCGAAGCGAAATTCCGCCCTCCGGGGAAGATGGATATGACCCCAGGTCCGGCGACACAAAGTGTGAAGATTATTGAGGAGCCTTCATTGTCGTCGAGTGTAAAATCGAAGTTTGATCGGAGGGGCATGAGTTTGGGGCCATCGGAGATATTCGCCACAGTAAGATTCCGACCGCCAGCGAAACTGGAAATGACCCCTGCTACAGCGATACAAAGTCGCCGGAAATCGTGCTTCTTGCAACCTCAAGATATCGAGGAATCAAAATCAGCGATAATGGAAAGAAGGAAAAGCATGACTGTTAGTCCCAAATCGCGAAAAAATGTGGGTAAAATTGAATCTCAAAAACAAGCGGCGACCACCATAGTGGGATCGAAAAAGCTTGTGAAGAAAGAATCTTCTCTGATTCAGCCGAGAAAACTCTTCAAAGATGGTGATAAGGAAAAATCTGTGTCCATCAAGAAGCCATTGAAGCCAGGACGAGTAGTAGCAAGCAGGTACTGAAAGGAAACTGATTCCTGTAAATTGCTCTTTTAACTGCTGATCATGATTCACTAGTGTATCATCTACATAGATGAACAACATTGGATTAATCATTCTTGAATTGAATTATATGCCTCAAAAACTTGAATTGAATTATTGAAGCAACAAACTGTTGAGACACTTGCTGTTCTAACAGGTACAACACTGTTTCGAGTTATCAATCGTGTGGGGCGGCCATTGAAGCTGCTAGGAAGAGGTCGTTGCAGGAGAACGAGAAGGAAGAAGGCGGGAAGAAGGCACGAGGGAGTGAGGGAATTACAGAGGGAGGGAGGACAAAGAAGAGGTGGGAGATTCCACCTGAGATCGTGCTTTACAAGAGGAAGGAGGAAGAAGAAGAAGAAAAGGAGGAGGAAAAGAAGGAGGAGACGACATTGTTGATGACAGATTTGGATTTGCTTCCAAAGATCAAAACAACTCGATTTGTTGATGAGAGCCCAAGAGGTTCAGGACCTGCAAAAAGAGTGGCTGAATTGAAGGGGAAGAAGAAATCTTACTTTTGCCCAGATAACGAGGATGAAGAAGGAGAAGAAAAAGAAGATGGGGTTGCTGGATCTGCTGCTGCTTGTGGGGCTCTGAGTTTTGCAGAACATGAAAGTGATAATGATGAAGCTGAAGATGAAACATAATAGAGATGGTTTCTTGCTAGAGAACCTAAAACTATATTCCTATATGGTGGTGGTGATTGATTTGTTCTCTGTTGTGCAGAAATAATGCAACAAACATTTTCTCTGATGTTTGTTTTCTTCAAGTGGTCAGTCAAAAATGCTACATGGAAATGTATGTGTGAGGAGGCATATGGCTATATTACATATTATAGCGGGGAATCTGATTGTTATCAATTTGCTAAAAAAAAAATGATTGAGTTTAAATAAAAATTGGTGTAAAATATTCCTGATAACTGCAGTAGCAGAGCTTTACCTTTCCTTTTGGCATTTAACTTTTACAATCTCCTTTTGAATTTTGATTCACAGTTACACACCTTTTGGTCTTTGCGTTGGTTTCTCCTTTAAAATCTAGGAGTAAATCCACTTTTTATGTATAGTCTTTTTTTTTTTAATACAATTTTATTTAGTCTTTTTAAGTCACTCTTTTATTGAAGATAAACCACATGAATCCTATGGAGTGGCTTCCCATGAAATTTGAAGAGAGACATAAAATAAGTAAATATAAATTTTTAAAATTTGATTTAAACAGTTCGGAATGATAGTGACAAAAATTTAAATATATATATATATATATATTGTAAATACTAAAAAATGTGCAGTGAAACGGAAGAAGTAACAAGTAAATGGAGAGAAGACAAATCTATAACAGTTAATTTATGATTTAATAACACGAATTATATTTTATCTCTTTGCTTATTTTTAATAAAGTCAGGAAATGAAATTTATGATCTTTTTGCCAATAATTTACGATCTTATTTTTAAATATTCAATTTTATGATAGTTGATTTTATTTTTATATGTTATTAAAGATTTAAGTAGGATAATTTTTTAATAATTTAAATTTATTATTTTTAAAATTGAAATTTGTAATATTTGATAATTATATTATTAGCGAATTTTAACTATAATTAAAATCAGGTTTAGCCCATGTGCCATTACAGGCCAGAACAGCCCAATATGCGAAGAAGATCCATATTGTTCTTTCGGGTCGGTTCAGGTAAAGAGAGATCCATAAACCCTAATGGGGACGTGTACTAACTCCAGCGCACGCAATTTTCAGAAACCCTAGTTCGCTGAGCCGTCTTCTTCAGCTATTGGCTGCCTGGTTCTCTCTCGCTCTCCCTCTTTCTGCTTCAACCATGGCTACTGCTAGAACTGTCAAGGACGTCTCGCCTCACGAGTTCGTGAAGGCTTATTCTGCTCATCTCAAGCGATCTGGCAAGGTATCTTCTACCCTCGTTTGTTTCTTCTCGAAAAGACCGGAATATTTGCCTGGAATGGGTTTTCTGTCTTCCTTGTTTCCAGATGATAATAGATTGATAGGAAATGTATCAAATCCTGTCTTGATTTTCCTTGCTAAGTAGAATGCCTTCCGATTCTGAGTCTTCTATGCTTTGTGTTTCCTATGTAGATTGTCGAGGCCTTTTCAATTTGATCTTTTTCAAACCTGTCTTGATTTTCTTGTTCGAGTTTTGATGACCTGTTGTGTGGATTCGTCTTGGAGCCTGCTTAGGTTTGATCTGAAAATTTTCTTCTTGGAATACATGTCTGGTGATTGTGTTTGTGGGATATTGTTTCCCATATTGTGCCAAAAATTAATGCGAGCTCATGAGTATTCCCTATGTTATACATTAATATTATTTTTTCTATTACCCTAGTTCCCTCTTCCACACACACACACACGTGCGACATCAAAGTAAAAATTCAGTGGTTTTAGTAGTGTAATCAACCACATCGAAGTACATTGGAGTGTTTCAGTTTTGCTTCTATTTGTCAATTGGATTAAAATTAAATTACTTTGGGAATTAATTGTCTTGATATTATTTATCTGGTGTAGCTGTTAGTAAAATTGACGTTTTCAAGGTTATTTGTTTTATAGCTATTTACAATTATTGTTCTTTAATTCTGAGCAGATGGAGCTTCCCGAGTGGACAGATATTGTGAAGACTGCAAGATTCAAGGAGCTGGCTCCATATGATCCTGATTGGTACTATGTTAGAGCTGGTGAGTTTTATGTCTTGAATTTTTTTTTTTTTTGTGTTTTCGTGATGCTGCACATTGTTATCCCGATATGTGTATTCACATTTGCTTTTGGGAAAATTTTCTTCTGTTTGCTAGAAGAGGCACTGATAGATTTTGGAACTTATCTCATTCTTTGGTTGTAGCCTCCATGGCCAGGAAGATCTACTTGAGAGGGGGTCTTGGTGTTGGTTCTTTCCAGCGGATTTATGGTGGAAGCAAGAGAAATGGTAGCCGCCCTCCTCATTTCTGCAAGAGCAGTGGCGCTATTGCTCGTCACATTCTTCAACAGTTGCAGAACATGAATATCATTGAAATCGATACCAAGGGGTAAGGACTCTTTTTTCCTTGTTAATTTGCAGGGGTTTAATTTCATGCCATGAACATCAATCCTATTGATGACCATTGAATGGATATTTTGTTCTCCTCACTTTCTTGTCATGCCCTATCATCTGTTGAAATATCAACCCGGAGCTGTTTTAGAAACATGCTGCTCTCTTTTACATGGTCATTGATCATTTACTTTATTTTCTTGGGTTATGCTTGTCCTTTCAATATTACCATTCAAATGATTTGAGATTCATTTGAACATAGATCTGAAGTATCTTGAACTTGATTTCTCAGTGGCAGGAAAATCACTTCAAATGGTCAGAGGGATCTTGACCAAGTGGCTGGTAGGATTGTGGTGGCCCCTTGATCTGTGAATTGTTGAGGACTATCCGTCTAGCAAAATACATTTAGGTTTCAGTTTTTTTCCGGAGATAGATGTGTTAAATGTGATGGGCAAATTTTGGCTTTAGCTATTGTGAGTGTCTCTTAAACACGACATGCTTCATGCTATGTTGTTTCAAGTCTTTTAGATGATATTATCACTTTTTTATTTATTTTTGAACTAAGTGTGACAATTTTCATCTTATTATTATTTCAATGTCTTGAGATGAGATGGAAGTCTTGAATTCGTAATGAACAAATTGCATTGCATCTATGTACGAGATTGCCTCGGCAATTGGGATGGCTAAGGGTGAGTTGAGATTTGAAGTATAAATCAAAAGATTGAGATTAATGTTTACCGAAAAAAGATTGAGACTATCGAGCTTATTTTTATTCTTTACTTAGTGAGAGATGAAATGAAAAATAAGAGGAAAGGTAGAAGAGGCACATGGGAATTTGAAGAAAACAAGGGGTTGGGAACAACTAAAATTTTAAATAACTAGAGTTTAAGGGAAATTTCAAGTTACAAGATTGGATCAAAATCCAAATATGCAGAAGAGCCTTGGAGTGAATAAAAAAGGAATCTTTGAGGTCAAAATTCTCATGAAACTGTGATATGAGCAAACAGATCTTAACCGTGCATGGCAAGGACTTGGACTCACGGAACAGCGCTTGAGTCATGCGGAAATGTGGATTTGCATTTGGAGCCCTTTGGCTGGGTTGCGTCTGAAATCCGTTGTATGATTTTAGCGCAACATTATGGATAGGGATTATTTTCCCGCCCAATCATGAAGGATCTGGACGCACAAAAGCCAAGCGTTATTAGGCGGCCGTTACAAAAACCGCTGCTGAGCACAATATTCAAGTTCATGTGTTTTACCAAAAAAAAAAGGTTCATGTGGCGCTTTCCCCCTGTTTGGTTTAAGGAGTGGGGAGGCGATTATTTGGATATAAAAATGAAATTTTTCCTCCCCTTCAAACCTTTCCCTCCAAAATGAGGGGTTGAGGAAGGAAGAAGTATAATATGGCTTATTAAGATGAATTTATCCTTGTTATAATATAATAGTTCAAAAATATCCTCCTCCTCTTATGCCTCTCCCAACTTAGGCCATCGTTCCTCTCCCCCAAATTGCTACAGCATCCATCTCCCCAAGATCGCGCCAACATCTATCTCCCACAACTCAGGCCACTGTCCGTCTTCCCTAGCACATGCCATTGTCATTGCTCCCTTTGCTCAGATTGTCATTGGCGTTGAAGTTCTTCACAACTACTTGTGTTGCCATCTCTCTTCCCCAACTTGTGCCATCGTCGCTGCTCCCTCTATTCAGATCGTTGTCCTTCGTTGTTGCTCCCTCCGTTTAGATCGCCATCCACTGTTTCTTCTCCCTCGTTTAGATCGTGGTCTTTGTCACTATGTTTTATATATTAACTTGTATTTTGTATTAACTAATATTTTATTTTATTTTACATTTTTATCTTTTTAATATTAATATTTGATTTTTTTTTTAAAAATGTTTTCATTGGTTTAGTGGGTGAGATGTATATTTTTATCCTTGCCTTTTTTAAATTTCATAAATATATTTTATTTAAAATTTTAAAAAATAAGAATAATTTTAATAAGGTAAGGATATAATTGTGTATATATAATTATTTTTCCTTCTCTTCCTTCTTGAACCAAACAAAGTACCTCTCTTTAATTAAAATCTCTCCCTTCTATTAAAATCCCTCTCCTCCTCTCAAACCAAACAAAGTGTTAAAAAAAATCATGATTGAGTTGTTTCACTTCTCAATTTAAGCCCTCTGTCCACTGTTTCAGGTCTTAATGCGTGCCTTGGTTAGAATTTCTTCAAGTTCTCAGCTCATGAGAGCCATCAAAATTCTGCATTTCTCTTCTCTATTTTCCTCCACTAGGTTTGATTAGAGTTGAGAATTTGGAAGGGCTAAGCCTATTCAAGCCGAAACTTCCTGAAAAGCCGAATGGCCAAGCTCAGCCTAAATTCCTTCGAACAGCCCAAATATCTAAATTTTATTTTTAAATATATTTTTAATTAATTTTTTTACTTTAAAATTAATTATTTTATTTTAAAAATATAGAATATATTTTTTGGATACTTAAACAATGTATAAGACTCAAATATATGATATTTTAATATAAAATGACATAAAATTTAAAGAATTAATTAATATTTATTATATTTTATATATTTTTAAAAATATTATTTTTTTATTTTGGTATTCATACCTAAATAGGCCTAAATTTTTTTTAAAAAAAGCCATATTTTTTATAAGCCCGGCCCTCATTTTTTTTTTAGTGGGTTCGGGGCTAATTACTAGTGTTAGGTTCGATAACCCTTATCTTTTAATTTGTTCTTTTGTTTTCCAAGGTTCAGAGTATATTTAGACATTTCTGGCTTAGAATCATTCACTTTGGATGTGCATGGTCACAGCAAAGGGCTTGAATGTTTTGACGCAAGAGAGACATGCAGGTTTCAGAAATTTTTGAAGTTTTGGCTCATGTTAGTGATGGATATTATTTATGTATGTACCTGCTGTTTTTTTTTTTGTTTTTGTTTTGTGTAGCATAAAGTACCTTCTCATCTAAACATTTCATATGTCTTCATCAGTTACCAGGAGGACACCCTGGAAAAATATTGAAGATACAATGACACAAAAGATTCCATACACTAGCGAATCCAAGAGGAACCATGACTTTGTCGTCAACAATGAAGCTAATTCTATAAATGTAAATGTTCAAATTTTGTGGGACTAAAGTGCTATATATTTCTAAAATGCTTCACTGCTTTTCTATTTTGCTTGCTGATGATTATAGGAAGCCTTAGATGGTGTATTTATATATGGTATAAGGAATTTCTGCTTGCGTTAGGCATAAAAAGGTTGAAAATTATCTGACTAAGTATAAAATCTATTTCTTCATGTCTTTGACTTGTGATGATAAGTCAATTTTTATTTAGACAAATAATTTTTTGTTGGAAAATAAAAGCGACAGAATCGATATACTGGCTGTCCCAATAATTTGCAAACATTACCATTATTTCAAATCCTACCATTTAACTAATAATGCTAAAACAAATATTTCATTTTTTTGTAAGATGAATTCTTTTTTCCCTCACTGTGGTTGACAGACAGAGTCTCTCCCACCCAATCGATTAATTGCGTTGGATTACTGAAAAATTTTGTTATGCAGAATATAATTATAGTCCCAATTCTTTTTGCTTTATAAATAGTTAAAAGAATTTCATTATATGTAGGAGGATGAAGACAGGACGTCGTCTAACCCCGAAACATTTCAAATCAAGATTTCTTGGCAAGGACTACAAGAAATCATGACCAAATTGATCAAATTCAAGGATTGGATGGCGCTGATTCATCCCAGATGTTCAGATGCCCAACTTGCTCTATTGTTGGGATCTCTGGGGTATCTTATTCAGATCTGCAAGATGAGATGATAACACAATTTAAGTCAGGACTAGAAGAGACATTTGAATAACAGCAACAGAGGATGGTAGTAGATAAGGAAGAAGAACTATTACAGATGCAGAAAGCCATAGATTTTAGCCTTCAGGACCTTCAGGTTGAATTGCCACCTGAACTTCGAAAGCCAAAATTTCAAGGGGTAATTTTATAATGTTTTCAAGTTTTCATTCTTGTTGAATCATGTAAATGTTTTTTTTTTCTTTTCTCTTGGTCTTCAAATTCATTGATAATAACATTTCATTTTATTGAATATAAGAAGCAGGAAATTTCATGCATTGGTGGATCCAAGAGTCATGTGGGAAAGAAGATGATGATGGTAATGTCACCTTGGCAAAGAATTAAATTGCAGTATTGTACATTTGCTATAGTTTGAGATATGATACAATTCTTGGAAATTTGCAGGAAGCTAAGCATGAAAAATCAACCTGCGAGGAAAATGTGTGGACTCATAGCACATAAGTGGAACGATAGCTGTTTCATCAACGATGAAGCTAAATCTATTAAAGTAAATGTTTAAACTTTGTAGGATTGAAGTTCTGTATTGCTTAAATGCTTCACTTTTCTAGTTTGCCTACTGATGAGTTATATAAGAAACCTTAATTGTAGTTATGCAAGCCAATTAGTTGCAAACATCACCATTAGTTCAAATCCTAAGAAAGTGCCTTTAACATTTTAATTGTAGTTTATTCTTTGCAGTTCTAGTGGAAAATTGGTTTTTGTTTTGGTCATTAAGGCTCCGTTTGGAAGGGGGCAAATATTGTTAATGAAATGAAAACAGGTGTGGCAAAATATGTCTGATATTTGTGTAGGAATTGAAACAATACATTTTACATATAGAAGGATTGGAGATAGTAATTTATAGCAAAAAGAGTGAACCGTCCCTCTTTTGTAAAACATAAACATGAGGGTTTTTTTAATTTTTTTTTAAATAAGGATCTCAAGGTGCACTGTGACTTTTCTTCCTTTCAGTTATGAAAACTAATCATGAATTGAAAACCATGTAATTCCACTTTGTCTCCTTTCTTAGATACCAAATCATGAAATTTCTCTTTTCAACAATTTCAACAAATCATATATTTCTTTTAATTTTATTTATAAGTTATTTCTATCAATTTTATCAATATCAATACAATCAAAATACAGAAAATAATCGCAAATGAAATTTCAAAACTAATTCTCAAATGAAAAAGCAAAAGTTACAATCAATCAATATAATATTTTTTTTTTTGTATTTCTCTCACATGAGTGAGGGTATTTTGGAAACTTCATTTTTGAAATGTAGAGTTATCATTACCAAGTGACTAATATTGTGGATCACATTTTTCTTTTAGAACTTGACCAATAAAACAGACTGGAGGGAGTACCAAATAGGTTCGAGAGTATGTAATTATTAGTAACAGCATACTCTGGCAATAATACTAATAATAATAATTATAATAATGCGTGATATAATTTAGTGGGCTTTCAAAAGTTCTACAGATAAACAGCAATTTGAAAATTTGCCAACAAAACGCAGCAAATAATGCTTGAAATCGCACGTACGATACAAATGCTTCTTACTAAATGAATAGAGGGAATGACACTAAAATCTCAAAATAAAGAATTTATGATAATTAATTCCTTAAAAAAATTAATTGTAAACATTAATTTAGATAATCTTAAATTCAAAAATTCTTACTACAAATAAAACAATTAAATTTTAAATATAAATCTCATTTTACAATTTAAATTTTTA